TAAATGAATTTATGGTGGAGAAGGATCTGGGAGTTCTGGTAGATTATAAGCTTAATAATGGCATGCAATGCCAAGCTGCAGTTTCTAAAGCGAGCAAAATCCTCTCTTGTATTAAAAGAGGTATAGACTCCAGAGAGAGAGAGAGAGAGAGAGAGAGAGAGAGAGAGAGAGAATTCTACCCCTGTACAAATCATTAGTAAGACCTCATCTGGAATATGCAGTTCAGTTTTGGGCACCAATTCACAAAAACAACATTGTGGAACTGGAGAAAGTACAGAGAATGGCAACCAAACTAATACGAAGCACAGAGGAGCTCAGCTATGAGGAAAGATTAGAGAAACTGAATTTATTCTCTCTTGAGAAAAGGATATTAACGAGGGATATGATCAATATGTATAAATACGTCAGTGGTTCATATAGTGAACTGGGTGTAGAGTTATTCACCCTGAGGTCATCACAGAGGACAAGGGGGCACTCTTTACATCTGGAGGAAAATAAATGTAATCTCCAAATACAGAAAGGTTTCTTCACAGTAAGAGCTGTGAAAATGTGCAATAGACTCCCTCAAGAGTTGGTTCTGGCCAGTTCAGTGGATTGCTTTAAAAAAGGCCTGGATTCTTTTTATAGATACACAGAATATAACTGAATACTAACATTTATAGGTAAAGTTGATCCAGGGAATATCTGAGTGCCTCTCGAGGGAACAGGAAGGATTTTTTCTCCCCTTCAGGAGCAAATTGGATCATGCTTTGCTGTGGGTTTTTTTTTTTTGCCTTCCTCTGGATCAATGGTGGTAAAAGATAACTTTTTTTTTTCTTGGTTGAACTGGATGCACTTTTGTCTTTTTTCAGCCAGACTAACTATGTAATTATGAATTTGGACTTTATCTTTGGTCTGGCACTCTCTTGTGGAGACCGGCATTATTCAAGTGCAGAAAAGCGCAGGTTTCCGCACAAGTGTGAACGAGCCCTTAACAGTAAACAACATCCACATTCTCCAAAAATAATCCATACATATCCGCTCCTTAATGGCCCTGCAATCTATTTTTCATTAAATTGTTTCTCACGTTGTTTCTCTGCCTTCTAGCAATGTCCACTGTGAGCTTTTGAACCTCTTCTTGAGTAAAAACAAGCTCCCCAGGGGATTTTATACTGTGCATGCTGGATATCAGATGTGACGTTATCGGTGGGCCAGCACACAACAGGGAAGAAAAGAAAACAACTACCGATGACGTCTTTTAAAAATGGCAGCACGGGATACGAAGATGAAGAAGAGCAGCACATTAGCGTGTTGATGCAGTAAAGGAGGAGGCAAGCAATTACCTTTAAATGTGTTTATTTAAATATTTACAGTACAGTAATGGTGGTATTATCAGATGAGGGGCGAAAAGGTCCGATTTAAGATTTTTATAGCTCATATAAAAGGGTGAAACATTAAAAAAAGTGTTCTTTTCACTAACTACAGTGCCAACCTTAATCGTACAGGAAAAACAGGAGTGTATGTTCAAACTGATACACTTCAAAGAAAATGTGATATTAATACACAGTATAGAGACTTGTCCATTTACTTTATGAAAAATGTACAAATGTAAAATATGTGTTAAAATTCCAGCCTGGTAGGAGACTTAATTTAATGTCAGCGTTCTGCACCCCAGAATTAAAAGCAAGCTTTTATAATTAGCACTTGTTGTGTTGAGACGTAACGGATGAGCAATCTCCGTTACATAATCCAGAAGAGCACACATTTCATAGAAAGCAACCAAAGGTCAAACGTCAGTTATAATCAAGCAAAAAAAAAAAAAATTTGAAAACTGGACCGTTTCCAGGATCCTCCACATTGTAAATGCCGCTCTTTTAGGAAAAAAGCAGAGAATAACATGGGGGCTGAAATCTTCAGTGAAGGCAGAAATGAAAAATAAAAATACCTTTACGACAGCTGAACATGAATTAACAAGATATATAATAAGCTTCTTGTACACAGACGTAATAGTTTACTGATGTTTACGTATAGCATAGGTGTGCGCACAGGGTGTGCTAGATGTGCCTGGGCACACCCTAATCACCCTGTGTGCATTACTATTTTTGCTGTGTGTGCCACTGAGAAGCTCTGCTTATAGAAGTATGGAAGTACTAATACGCACGCAGGGAGATCAGAAAGACACGCATGTGTTTGAGCTTCGGGGTGCACACCCTAATACTATAGGCTGCGCACACTTAAGACGTATAGGCAGGATCTGCTTGCCTGAGTAAAAATATGTAGATTCTGTAAAGACATAGGGGTTGATTTAGTAAAACTGGAGAGTGCAAAAACGAGTGCAGCTCTGCATAGAAACCAATCAGCGTCCAGTTTTTTTTTTTGGTTTTTTTCAAAGCTTAACTGAACAAGCTGAAGTTAGAAACTGATTGGCTACTGTGTACATTGCACCATATTTTGCACTCTCTAGTTTTAGTAAACCAACCCCCTTGTGCACATGCATGTAAAGGTACTTAAAACATGCAGATGCATGTACATGCATAAAATTCTTCTTCATCCTCTTCTAGCTACCAGTGTTGCAATTTAGGCAAACACAGTCAATATGCGCAGAATTTACTACACTCAATTGTCTTTTTTAATGGTTTTTAATCAGCATTGTAGATCTTTATGCAGCTGCAAGTATTGCCCTATAGACAACCATACTGTTCAGATCCGTAAAAAAACACCACGTCTACAAAAGCAGTGTTTTTTTCACCTGTGTGCAAGAGGCATTATGCTGAAAATAATACAACACATGGATCTACTGTTCCAGAATAAAGCAGAGGTTCAGTATATATAAAACAAATTAAAAGTCAGTCGCTACAAATCCTATAGCTGCTGACTTTTAATAAATGGACACTTACCAGTCTAGGAATCCAGCGCCATCCTAACATGGGCTAGTTTTTCACTAGCTTCCTGCTTCCCCATGCCGGCATCCTAACTGTGGACAGCCGGTTGTGTGGCTTGTGGCTTCACAGCCACTGTGCATGCATTGGACCTATCACGTGTCCCAGCAGACTGCGGGGACGAAAGGGGGAGGAGAACTTCGCTTAGATGATCCGAGCAGAAGTGGGTACCTGTAAAAACTAGGTAGCCGTTCCCCCTCTCCAAAATTACATAACATGTTAGGCAAAGGAGGAAGGGGGAGAGGATGTCTTAAAGTGCAACTTCCCCTTTTGGGTGGAGATCCACTTTAAGAAATACATACCCACAGAAAGTACAGAGGGTGCCAATCTGATTTGTCCCAAGGCACTGAATAGCATAGTATAGAATGATCACCCCTTCACACTGGCGCCTCCCGGCCCTTTAAGGGGTTTCTGACGCCAGGAGACAGGTCGGGGTTTAGGGTCATGTGACCGCCGTAATTGGCTGTCACATGATTGGAAAGCTCCTGCCTTTCCTTGGAATGCTGACACAAGTGCTGGAAGCATGCAGGGCGTGCGCTCTCAGCGATTGTTTGTTTACAAATGGTATGCAAATATGCGACCTGCTCGGTGTCAAGGCCCAGCCGCCGAGAGGCCGTATATTTTACGTACTGGCAGCATGAAGAGGTTAAGTATAGGATGATCACCCTTACAATGGAGGTGCCATCAAATCATCTTTTATTCAATAAACAAGGGACACACTGTACAGGAGGTTGTAACACTCTTACAACATACTTGCGCATTTCACGCTGCATAGTTCTTCTACACAGATTCTGTGAACAATGATTATACATCGTGGAATGCATAACAGTGTTTTGACCTCCACTATGTCCCTTGTTTATTGAATAAAAGATGATTTAATGGATCATTAATTTGAGGCATGGTCATCCTGTTCTTGTACATGTGCTATACTATTGGTGGTAACCTTCAAAATGAGGCTATTTCTACACAATATATTTATCTTTAAAGCCAAACACAAATCCTGTGTTTTTAGATTTGGATAGAGCAGAATGAGTTAAAATTTATCAGGTTTTTATTTCGGACTGAGATTTTTCCTCATTTCCTGTCCTTATAGTACTCACACAAGAAATATGGGGTGCGGTCGTCACTGGGCAGGCAAAGACAGTAATAAAGATATTGTCAGAACTTCTGACCCTTCCTCCACTACTTAAATTGTGTTTTTGTACGTGTGCCCCTTGGAGAGATTTCTCCTTACTTTTTGTCTTAACAGGAAGTTAGGAGAAATCTGCCCAACAGGGACATGGACAGCCATAAAGATATGACAGAGGTTCTAACTCTGATATGCCATTAGCAAAAACAAAATAACTTTTGGTTGGATTTTGCTTTAAAGTGTATCCAAATCTAAATACTTGATTTGTACCAATACAAAAACTAAATAGGTTGTACGTGTTCTATCAAAAACTTACATTTTTATTTTATAAATCTTGCTTTAATCTAAATTATAAAAACATATCATTATAAATTAACATCCTTTTCCAAGAGTGCTAAAAATTATTCAGCTCAGCTGCAGTATTTATGCTCCCAGGTTGGAATAAAAGCAGCCATGTACTGGCACATTCTGTTGTAGTCTCCACAACAAAACCGTGATGATGGAGCATGCACACATCCACAGGAGTTTATTAAAAGACAAAGTAAGTTGAACAACCCTCAGCACCAGTGTCTATCACTGCCATATTTATACGGGGGGCAAAAGGGGCAACGGCCCTCTTACCAGAAGGTGCCCTTCTAATAATATAAAAACAATATTTTGAAAAAATATATAAAATAGTAAAAATTAAATACCGTATTTGCCGGCGTATAAAGACGACTGGGCGTATAAGACGACCCCCCTAATTTTCCTGCTAAAATTTAGTGTTTGAGCTATACTCGCCGTATAAGACTACCCCTCTTCCAATGCACACCAGTGGCAGGAATAGTGCCCCATCATTGGTATCAGTGGCAGGAATAGTGCCCCATCATTGGTATCAGTGGCAGGAATAGTGCCCCATCATTGGCATTAGTGGCAGGAATAGTGCCCCATCATTAGTATCAGTGGGGGGAATAGTGCCCCATCATTGGTATCAGTGGCAGGAATAGTGCCCCATCATTGGTATCAGTGGGGGGAATAGTGCCCCATCATTGGTGTCAGTGGGAGGAATGGTGTCCCAACATTGGTGTCAGTGGGAGGAATGGTGTCCCATCATTGGTGTCAGTGGGGGGTGGAATAGTGCCCCATCATTGGTGTCAGTGGGGGGGGGGAATAGTGCCCCATCGTTGATGTCAGTGGGGGGGGGGGGAATAGTGCCCCATCGTTGATGTCAGTGGGGGGGGGGGAATAGTGCCCCATCGTTGGTGTCAGTGGGGGGGGGAATAGTGCCCCATCATTGGTGTCAGTGGGGGGGGAGGAATAGTGCCCCATCGTTGGTGTCAGTGGGGGGGAGGAATAGTGCCCCATCATTGGTGTCAGTGGGGGGGAGGAATAGTGCCCCATCGTTGGTATCAATGGGGGGAATAGTGCCCCAACATTGGTGTCAGTGGGAGGAATGGTGTCCCAACATTGGTGTCAGTGGGAGGAATGGTGTCCCATTATTGGTGTCAGTGGGGGGTGGAATAGTGCCCCATCATTGGTGTCAGTGGGGGGGGAATAGTGCCCCATCGTTGATGTCCGTGGGGGGGAGGAATAGTGCCCCATCGTTGGTGTCAGTGGGGGGGAGGAATAGTGCCCCATCATTGGTGTCAGTGGGGGGGAGGAATAGTGCCCCATCATTGGTGTCAGTGGGGGGGGGAATAGTGCCCCATCGTTGGTGTCAGTGGGAGGAATAGTGCCCCATCGTTGGTGTCAGTGGGAGGAATAGTGCCCCATCATTGGTATCAGTGGGAGGAATAGTGCTCCATCATTGGTATCAGTGACACCAATGATGGGGCACTATTCCTCCCACTGACACTTGCTGACCCTGTTCTCGTATGGTGCTGCTGCAGCCAGCATATGTGGTTGCAGCAGCACCTCTACACTGACCACTTACCTGCTGGTCCTGCAGTCGATTTTCGCGGGGGCCGCTCGGCTCCACCCCCTCGCCGGTGATTGGCCGCCTGTGTGCCTTTCCTGAGCTACAGTTCTGGCGGCCAATCACTGGTGAGGAGGCGGAGCCGAGCAGCCGCACGAACATCCAGTGACTGTACTGAAGGCGCAGCCGCGCTTCCTGGACCGGATCGTCGTTGGACCGGAACCAGGTAAGAAACAGCCGCTGCCCACCCCTGTACTTAGTGTCCCTTCCATTGGGGGAAGGGGGGGGGGCGGCGGCGGCAACGCGCCGCCCCCCTAAAAAGTGTCAGTATGCCGTATACCGGCGTATAAGACGACCCCCGACTTTTGAGAAGATTTTTAAGGGGTAAAAAGTCGTCTTATACGCCGGCAAATACGGTAATAACATTATATAAAATATAAGAAAAATTACTTTCTTTTATTAAATGTATCTTGGGAAGGAGTATTTTGCCAGCCATCATCTGTAAAAGTATTTACTCTGGACCAGTGTTTCTCAACCTTTTTTCAGACAAGGCACCCTTTAAAATTATGGATAGTCCTGATGCACCCTTTAAAATTATGGACAGTCTTTATGCACCCAAAGACTGTCCATAATTTTAAAAGGGCACCCAATTCTAAAATGTGAAAAACTATTCTAATCGTTTTATGTAACGCAGCAACATCATAACATGTAGGATATCCAACATTGGAGGTGATTTATTATTCAAAAGCAAATACACGTTTGCACACTGGTACTGACTAATATTCTAGTGTTTCTCTTCACCTTCAGTTTTTCTCCATCACTGAGCTAATGTGACCCCAGCACTGATGGAGAGGGACAGGGGAAGATCAAGCTAGGATGCAGGCAGCGGACATCCTCCTTATCAACTGATGATGTTATTGGTTGTCAGGACACTGGCATTTAGAAGGTCGTAATGGTTCACAATGAAAACCTGTGGCTTTGTGTAACTAAAAGGCAGGCTTGTTCCACCTGCTGGCTTGTTTTTAACAATTTTTAGACATTTTGCCAAGGCACCCCTGAAGATATGTCAAGGCACCCTGGTTGAGAAAGGCTGGTCTTGACAAGTAAACCACACAGAGCACATACACTCTTAAGGAAAGTCACCTATGACTGTGCATGTGTGTGTGCACGTGTGAACGCAGAATGCTGTTGTGTCATGCATTTTTAAAATATGTGACTGTCACTGAGCATGTAAGCCAACTCTGTGTATGTGGGCCCCCCAAACTCGAAGTGCTCCAGGCCCCCCAAGTTCTAAAGCTGGACCTAGTGCAAGTGGCTACAATATTAATTAGAGTGAGTGGCCACAATAAAAACTCCAAGAATTAGCATCAATAACTACAATAATACCCCCCAGGATTGGTGAGAGTGGCCACGAGAATAACCCCAAACATTGGCGTCAGTGAACAAAAGAAGAGCCCCAAGCATTGGTATCAGTGGCCGCAATAATAACCGCCAGCAATGATGTCAGTAACCAAAACAAATTACCAGAGCATTGGTGTCAATGATTACAAAATAATAACCCCTATCATTGGCGTTAGTGGTCACAATAATAATCCCCAGCACTGGTGTCACTGGCCACAGTAGTAACCCCCAGCATTGGTGTTAGTGGCCACAATTATATAACAGTATGTCAGTGACACGATAATTAAACCCATTTTCATTGGTGGTTTTAAATACTTGATTACACACTTCCACATGTATCTAGGGCTGAGAATATAAATTTATTATCAGACAGATGGACACTGGAGGGCAGTCCAAAAACCTAGGACTGTCCTGCTGGACCTGGGCCACTTGACAACTACGTTTGCATCTGCTGCATCACTGATCTAGTATTTGAAAATGTATACATTGATTGCACCTCACCACTCCCCTCAACACCAAGTTCTGTAAAATATGCTCACTGATTATAGACTCCCAATGACTCTAACATGCAGCCAACTGTGAAAGAACTAGAGTGTATGCAAACACTAAAAATGAACTTGTTTTATTTGCTCCCTTTTGATCTACTGAATATAGCATTGAATGCGTTTTGGTTTATCTGTTTAGAGGTGCCTAAAAATACCTGTTGATTCCACCAGACATCCAGTGCTGTCATTTTGCACTTTGATTTGTTGTCTCAAACATTATTATTCAGCCTTGCCCATTTCTTCTCTGTGACCTACAGAACACTACCCTTTATGTTACAAAGAGGAGGAGAGAAGGAGGTGTTCTGTAGTCCAAACACACTTCTTCATACAGTACAGTGAGTAAACCTTATCAGTCTAGAAAAGAAAATGTATTACTAGTAGGATTCCCAGGGGAAAATTAAAAAAAAAGGAACCCTACTATTAAAAAAAAAAAGAATGTCGACAACATATAAATTAATCTGCAATACATTACATTTTATTCTTGTATTTAGAAACAGTACCTCCATCCATATGCTATGTGTCTTCCTGAAGTCCCTCATCTAGTTTCCCTTATGTACCTTGTCTGCTGAGCTGACATTACTGCATCATTAGTTGCTCTGTCGCCAATTCCAATTCTACACAGACTTTAAATGAGAGCCCCAATTAGAACTGTAGAATTTCAATATTGTTCTGGCCAAAGTTGTACCTATACCGTGGTAACATAAACCACAACTGCTCGGATTTCTCCAATATGGCTGTCAAGGTCTACAAATTACCAAAACCTTTTAGGCTATGTTATGGCTCCTCTAGCCTCTATTTGTGCAAGCAGCCTCACTGAAAGTGACCCGAGTAGCCTGAAAACATTAACGATAAAAAAAATATACTAGTGACAAGTTTCTGTTTAGATTGGAGTAGTTTTTTCAAAACTGACCTCCTGGCTTCCAAAAAATACAACAGCACATAACAAGTACATTTAAATAATTTATAATTTACAAATAAATATGCAGGCCAAATAACTTTTCCTACCAAATCTGACTCCATGGATTCCTATGTGCTTATCATCCTTAAAAAGCTACTACCCTACACGAAGACAGCAATGGGGGCCACTATCACCGTACAGTGAACTAGCATTTGCCTCTGAAATACATCTCCCAGTATACCAAGTGTGAACCCTAATGCTCTTCCCTCTCAATGTCATTGGCAGCAAAATTACAAAGTTCATTATTCGGCAGGTATACAATGGATGTACACAGCTCCACATAATACCCCTCTACAAAAGAAACATCAACTCCTCAAGAGGTAATGTCAAAGCCAAGTGTAACAGGGATGTAAATTCCAAGATCTGAGCACATTTGAAAGCCTGGACTATTGGGAAAAATTGTGCCAGGTTAAGAAGATTTTCCATTACCTTACCTTAGACAAAGTACATATACTGACCATTATGTTGCAGCTTGAGCAATGTGCTCATTCCAATCGTCTTGAACCCAGAGTTCCGCTTTAAACAATTTTGCAGCCCCCTATTCTAACACAAAAGAATATCATATCCATTCTCTCTACTGTAATACTAAAATGATATTAGAGGTCAAAACTCAAGAATCAGTCTGAAAACATTTAGCCTGCAGTCATGTGCTTTTATATGGTCATTAATCTTTTCTGTGACCTCTAATATCCTTTTATTTTACAGCTGGGGCTATACTGTATCTTTTATTTTATGTTCTCAATTCACTTTCCTAGTGCCTCCTTTTACCCTTTCAGAATACCCTCTAAACAGCCATAGAATATTAAATGGTTCAGTTCTCTGGAGTTAAAGGGACAAAGCAGTACTTGCTTCCTTTGACCTTATATATTGTTTATTTCCTAGATTTTATATCTTATTATTGTGCTGAATTTCCCAATCCTCAATCATCAAGACTCTCACCGAGTTAAAGAGCGTTGCATTGATAAAAGCATGCAGACCCTACAGGTTCTATTGAATCTACATTTTAAAAACCACACACAAAAGCATTCTCCGAACTTGTGTGTATTGAGCCCTTTGAACAATGAATACACAGATAATGCCACAATTGTATTTCATATATCCTTTGTTTATTTTATGTTTTGTCTTTCTACTTTTGCATAGGGCTGACAGATCTAATCCAGTTAAAAAACTGCCCCACATGGTTTATCACCACAGCAATGCTGTGAGATTATGATCTAGGTTAACAAAATTGTAGAACAGAGAGTGTCAGGGAAACAGGGATAATGTGCTATGACATACCTACACCTATACAACAAATAAAGTAAAAGCAACATGTTTTTTAAAATAAAGGAAACTTGGAGTAAAAAAAACTATGAGAGCCACCACTGCTGACTTCATCCTGTAATATTAGTTATCTGTTTTCTCTGGCTTTAATACTTTCTGAACCATTTCCCGGAAACAAGTGCTGCAAGTGAAGTCAAAGAAAAGTCAGAATTACTTTTCCTCATACTTGTTGAGGGTCAGTGACTCAAAGTCTTAAAGTCTTTGGATGAGCAGCACTGTTGGCCAACTAGAATTTTCTGTTTCCATGTATTTATTACATTTGCAGCGCAAACATAACAAGCTCACAATTCACTCTCGCAGGGGCAGAGCTAAATAGTCACATGTAAAAGCTGATACAAGTAAATAATGTGTAGTGTTCTAACCATAACCATTGAGGACTAGTAGGAAAATCAAAGCCAATGTTGCTATTGCCAAGCTGTCCTCTATGAGTTAACAACAACAAGGATCAGCTGGAAAGAAGGAAGAACTGGAGGAGGAAGAACAAGGGGGAAAGGGAAAATGTAGGGAAAGAGATGAGGAAAAGCAGAGAGAGGAAAAGTCAGGAAAGGAGGGATATCACGGACCCAGGACTGGCACGGACAGCAACTATAAGAGGCCACAACTGGAGGGAAGTAAGGATCCCCGTGGTACTGAGAAAAAGAAGTAGTTTATCAAAGGTTCATAAACTTTAAAGAATTTCGAATGATGTGAGTCTTTGAGAATGCTGGAC